ATATTTTAATTTACTAACTTACTTACTTTAAATTTTTTAATTTTTAAGGGATATAGATATAAAGATATTTGCTCGATATCAAGAGTACCGAACAGATAATCAACTAGAATATTTTCGAAAATGTATTGACCACCATAAGGCATGAGACTTAATATATAATATATATCGATATTCGATGGCATCAAAATTAATATAGCCATATGTTCTAAACCATAACAACCCAACACCTAATAGATACTTAGAATAGGCTAAGGCACAAACTAGTAAAATATATAAATTAAAATTTGAACAGGTTAGATATTGGTTTGATTTTAACTTACAACATAAATAAGAACAAAAAAAAAACACAATCACAGTAGACTTTTACTTATCTTCAGGCTATTGTTAACTTTCGCACTGGAGTTTGAACCAACCAATCTTTATTATGAAATGCAGCCCGACACCAATTTGCTCCAATTTGGTCAGCTAGACATCATCTGATTTACAAATTATTAGAAGTATCATATGAAAAAACTTTATTAAATTTAAAACCTCAAATTCGTGAAAATATTGAAAATTTCTCGGTATTATCTTGATCAGAACTTCAAAATCAGCACCAAGAACTTGATGCTATAATAGAAGAGATTAATAAAGCCTTAAAATCCCTAATTCCTCCAGTACCATCGCAACATCACTAGGAAATTGCTGCAAGAAACTATGTAAATTTTTTAAAGATAATTTAATAAATAGATATTACTGCATTAAATTAATTCTAACATTTAACTAAATTTAGCTATGTACCAACCTTTTTAATATTATTGGATATAAGGATAATAAGGATTCAGAACAATGAACTCGACCTAATTCTTATATGGAACAACAACATTTTCATACATATCTAAGGAAAAAACAGTTCTTGAATCCAATAAAAATGAATAGTGCATTTATTAATTTAGACAGTGAAATTAATTTGAGTGAAGAAATGAAATCATTTAGTGTACTCGCACAAGAAAAAAAACAAGTATTTATTAAACATACCTTAATGCAAAATACTAGTATTGATACTTGGCGAGCAATTCCAGTAACGGAGCAGGAGGCTGAAATAATGAAAAATGAAAGCACAATGAGAAAAGAAAAGCTTCTTTCAGTTATCAATTCAATACTTATATCACTTCCTGAAACACAATGCTTGAAGTATACTAATTTAAAAAATAAGACAAAAACTATACTATTAACAATCTTGCAAGAAATACGAGGCTTAAATTATGCTGAAGATGCTATTGATGAAGAAAATGAAGATAAAGAGCTTATAGATGAAGAAATGATATAAAGAAATTAATGA